GGAAAAGTACCGCGAAGGTCTCTTTCTTTATGTTGGAATGTGGCCGAAGAGCGGCGTGCCTGTGGGATGGTCTGGTGAACACAAAGGAGAGATACACGAGTTTCAGTTTCAGGGGGTCTTTGAGGGAGGAGAGTTGGTGCGTGGAGGCCCAGCGTTTATTAGGTCTCCTTCTTCAGCTGATCTCTGCCTTTATTTTTGGAACAGGATCTCACTAAACCTGAAGCTGTTGATTGGCTTGGCTGGCTAGCCAGCGAGTCAGGGGTCCACGTGTTTCTGCCCCAGCTCTCACTCCTACATCCCATCCCAACTCGTCTTTAAACTGGGCTACAAGAATGTGCTGCCCTCCCAAGTTTCAGGTCCTTGTATTACATGCTTAGCAGTGGAGCCAGCTCCAGCCCTAGAGAATGCTTGCTTATAGAACAAGAATCCCACTCTGCTGTCCCCTCTGCAACAGTCAGTTAAAAGAATAGCTCTGACAGCAGTGGGCCTGTGATGTGTGGTCAGTAGTGGGAGCCTGCCAGGCATCACTGAATGACTCCTAGGGTTCTCTCTACTACAACTTGACTTTTGACAGTGTCACTCTTGCCTAGGGGGCAGTGCTGGTGAAAAGAACTGTCCTTTGCCCACCCCTCATCCTTAAGTTCCACAAAGTGGTAAAGGCCAGGATAAGCCAGGGACGCTCTGAACAAGTCTCCTGCCTTGGAATCTTGGGGTGTGTATGTGTATTGCCAACCCCCAACTCCCCTCCAGCCTGTCACTACACATGGAGAGTTGCTTCAGTGTCAAATCTTTAGCCTCTTAAAGAATTCTACAGTTTTGGTATTTATTTTATATATTTATTTTTATGTGTTTTGATAATTATTTTCCTCTGTTTACTCAAAGGCAACATACTGCTGAATGTTCTGATTCCACCCAATATGCCCTGCACCCGAACAGGGAAGAACAATGTCCTCATCGTCTGTGTCCCCAACCCCCCACTGGATGAGAAGCAGCCCACAGTCCCAGTCACCATGCTGATTCGGGTGAAGACGGGTGAGGATGCAGATGAGTTACACAAGATTTTACTGCAGAAAAAGGATGCTTGAGTACTGAGGCCGACCAAGGAATGTTGCCACATTGCTGCTTCCCCTCTGCCCCCAAACTTAGTCACATTCTTTCCTCTTCTTGCTGTGACATTCTGAGAACTTCTAGGTAATGGGAACTTCTATGAGGAAGATTAAGGCCAATAAAACCTCTGGGTGTGTCAGCTCTTCTCCTTCCTGAGGACTAAACAAATACATTGAAGTGAAAATTTGGGAAGATTTTTTTTAATATTGATTCATTGAGGAAACTAACCTAAGTGATTCTTAATGGACTGCAATCAGGGTACCAGTTAGCTCTCCAAGGCTCCTTCAGGCAGTGTGGGCTCCGCCTTCCTGCCTGCTTCAGGAGACCCCATGACAGTGTCCCACAGCATCCCAGAAGACACCCATTGGCTCCCCTGCTGTGGGCTTGTGTGACCCGTGACTAGCACTCCTGCCAAACACCGTGCCGCCACACTGTGACTGCGCTGAACTGTACGTGTTGGGTGTCTCTGACATCAGCCTGTTGGCAGGTGCTGGCCTTTGACCTGGGGCTGCTTGACTGATCCCAGCAACTGCCTTTTCATGAAAAGGACATGAGAGGTTCGTGGGGGAGCTGGCGGTGTAGACTGGGTTTGTCATTTTTATCCAGGAGGTGCTCTTACTTTACCCCCTCAGTTAATGTGGAAGGGGCTGTCAGGAAGAATGGACTTTAGAAGCACAAATTTGGTAGCTTTTTTATATCATTTCTATACCACAAACAAGCCTTTATTTTCAGAAAAAAAGTGAAGCCGTGCTGAAAAGGGGTGTGTGCTCATGGCCATTGCTGCCCTGGTGGGCCCATGGGCACACCCAAATGGAGTCCTCAGGAACCATGCATTCATGAGAAGGAGCAAGCGTGTGGGAGTGCAAGACTGCCAGTTTGGTCTGCACCTTCAGACAGCAGCATGCCACCTGGCATTTGAAAAACTCTTTTGTTTTTATCTTTTTAAGGATGAGGTATTGAGTGTGTCCATTTGGAAGAGAGCCATGGTTCTGCCTGGGCCATTCGTGTCACTTCAGAGTGGTGAGGTTACTAACACTAGCATTTTCTGAAGACCAGACATCAAGTAAATGCAAGATCCGATGCCTGGCTGGTCATGGTTCACACCTGTAATGCCAGTGCTGGAAAAGCTGAGGCAGGAAGACTCAGTTATAGTAAACCCCCCCAAAAAAAAGATTGAATGACTAAAGTTCTACCCTCAGTCCTCCCTAAACCATTCAACACTAGGACTAGGACCAGCTCTTGTCTGAAGGCCAGTGCCCAGAGGGTGCACACGTGTGTGCTCAGTCAATACACATCATAAAACCTAATGGCACAGTTCTTCCTCAAAACTGCAATGCTGGGGGTGGGAGTGCAACCTAGTTCACTTTACTTACATAGCCAAGACTATGGTAACTCAGATCACCGGCCCCGCCTCCTGAGCCCTGAGCTGGTTAGCTTTTGTTGAAGTAGGATGGTAATGTTATCACTGTGTTACAGGGCTCTGCTCAGCACTTTGGCATGTCTCCACGGGTGACGCGCTTGTGCTTTGTGGGGTGTGGACCTGGCGAGGTGCTGTGCATTTATTTGCCATTTAGCATTGAGAATTGGTTTCTAGCAAGTGAGTTGCTTGCTGCTTGTTACCGTTGGCCCTGCCTGTTCACTCTGGGTTTGCCCAGCTTTCCAAAGATGACGTGAGGGGATCCCATTTCAGAACAGTACCGTGTAGCCACATGCCTATGGGGCTGACTAGTGTCAGGTTCTTGGGTACTTTCAGGAACGTGTCTATTCATAGTGGTGGGGCTCTGTGAGCATCTGCCCATGCCTTGAACATTTACCAAAAGTAAAAGCAAAAAAGGTTGTGACTGTATTGCCTTCTAAATTTCCCAGCCCATTTTAATTGTAAAGTAGTGGGTGTAGCTTTCCTTTTCCTAACATTCCCAGCAGAGTTTGCTGCTAAGACTATCACAGCGAGAATTACAGGGAGGGGAGAGAGGTTGTGACCGGAACTCAGTGTGTCTTGTCTTTATGCTTTAGGATCTAGCTCAGCACTCTGCACTTAACCTGAATGTGAGCCACTGGAAAGTCTGTCACGGGGAGGCCCCTGGAGGGCTCTGTTCTCCCTTATCTATGAGGAGCTGGTTCCAACCCATGGCTTAAACTTCATTTACATTTTAACATGTTAGAAATTTGCCTATTGTGTGTTTAATGTGAAATGAGGTTTTTATCTCCTGTTTCAAATTTTTAAGTCTTTCTTTTATTTGACTGAGGAAGTGTGTATTCTCTGTTGTCACGTGCGTCTAAGTAGACGCTGAGCCTGGGCCTTCTCACACTGTATCTCACTATTTCGCACATTCCCAGGCAGCAGTTTCTGCCCTGCGCTGTCTTCCTTCGAGAGCCACACCATAGGGACATGGCTGTTAGCAACAGGTTCAACTGCTAATGGGCTTATTTTTCTTTTACAGTTTCAGTTCTAAATCCTAGTTTTTACATGCTGCGTGCCAAAAAAATACCTGCTGCGGCATAGGGGGGAAATTCCACCTTGTTGTCAGGGTTTTCCCTGACAGCCTCCTCTACCTTTTCTTGAAGGTTTAGGAGGAGTCTGTTCTTGCCAGTTTGTTCATTATGTTGTTATTATTTCTAAAGATGAGAAACAGTCCCCTTGAGGCTGCAGACTACCCACTAACAACAAGTCGCATTCTAGAAGTGGGATTGTAAGGAAATGACCTGTTCTGTTACCCGTAGGTGAAGTTGGGAGCTCTTCAGGGCATCTTCTAGCCCCACGCTCTGCACAAGGCCACCACGTGCTCTCCAAAAGCGATTGCAAGACTGAGGACTGTCCTTTAATGCAGACAGAGCTGTAAAGGGGATGTAAGACTTAACACATGAAATAATCTGCTCTTTACATTAACAGGAAATTGTTTTCTAAAACTAAAATACTTGAATTGTCAGACAGTATAATCTCAGTGTGTGTGAGCTTTTGAATGAGCCTGTGAGGAAGTGTAACAATCCATGAAATGTGAATAAATGGAAAGTTAAAATCCAGGGTTTGACACTGTTTTGTTTCTGGGATATTCTTGGCAGGTCAGTGGAAAAGCAGCGTATGGCAGTAGTGTGCAGAAGCATCCCTGAAGTGGGGGCTGACCAGGGGCTGCATAGAATTACAGTGGGGTGCAGAGCCTTGTGCTGGGCAGTCTCCAGCCTCCGACTAGAGCTGGTGGGGAGGCTGGCTTTCTTCTGCAGGAGTAACACTGACTTTAATCCATTCAGTGATGTGTTGGAGCTGTGTGCAGATTGTTTCCTAAGGAAAAAAAAAGTAACAGAAGGCTGTCCCCAGAGTTCTGAACTGAGATTCATAAGTGATAGGTGCTTCCCGAAGAGCAGGATTGTTCCTGAACCATTGGGGAGACTGGCTGAATCAGAACATCAGGTTAAGGCCCAGTCTTTATTTGATTTGGTTAGTGGGTTTTGTACAATCACACAACTACTACCAGCCATTGGATGTGAACAGATGACCTGGTGCACACTTGTGCTTGACCACCCCTGACTGGCAAGCTTCCTCCATGGAATTCCAGGTACAGCCATGAAAGAAATAACTTCTCACATCCTAGGAGGAAATAGCAGTGACCACCAGCATTCCCAGGAATTGTGCTAACCTCTATACATGACCTTGTCTTAACTTCATTGTCAGGGAACCTGAGGGATGTATTGGGTTTACCTTCCCTTTGAAAAGCCCCAGGCCCTGGGTTTTGTGAGAAGCTGGGGTGACACGGCTTGCCGAGGGGCCACATTTATATGGTCCTATCCAGTGTGCCCACTGAATCATTCATCTTAAAGGGTTTCTGGACTTGGCTTAAGTCTTTTGAGTAAAATTGTGGTTCACGATATAAGTAATCAAAGTTCACCAGAAACAATGGTTATTTCAAACTGAGCAACCTAATTGCTTTATTAAAGTCAGATTCCAAAATGAAAGAGCCATCCACATAGAGAAAAGTGATAGCCCGTTGGCTTACATGAGGCTGTAGGAGGCAAGTGAGTGACACTAAGAGCAGGACCTTTCTCTTATGGCCCAGCCCCCAAGAAGCAAGCTTTCCCTTCCTCAAGATTCCCACTTCCTGTCACTTTTAACAAACACAGAGTTCGATGTCTCCAGGTGACATGGGTATATACAGTGAGCTACAAGGACTGTTATTTTACCTAATGCTCGCTTCCTCATTTGTTCTGGAAGGTTTTCCTTTTCAGGGAACATTTTCTTCCAAGCTAGAGCTGACAGCTGCTCCTAAAAGGTATGGGTCAGGATAAAAGACCTGAGACAGCAGAACGGCTTTCCCACTGCATTTGGGACAGCGTCCAGGACAGACTGCAGACTACCCCGGGTCAATGTGGATAGCAAGGAGACAGGACTTACCTGCTAACTGCTAAGCCAACGCCTCCTTCCAACCACCTTGCAGTTAGAAGTACCAGTTCAGAAAACTCTCCTCATCTGGTGTTTCTAGGGTAGTAGCTGACTCGTCCTCTCAGACCCCCTCTGATCCTCCGCTGCATAGTCTATTAGGCCTATTCCTTGTGACATAAAATCCCTTTGCATGAAAGGTAGCTGTGGTATTTTCAACCTGTGATAATTTCAGGTGCCTGCTCAGCAGCCCACAGTCACAGAGGTGACTAGGCGACGGATAGTAAGATGTCTGCTGGAATCTTTTGTAAACTCCCACTTAGGTTCCCAAGTTCTATTCCAACTATTTTCCTACTACTGTAAGGGCTTTTATGGGATTGTCTTAGAAAAGCTTGGGAAATTTTGGTCCAAACATTGCCAGGGTGGATTTTCATGGGAGCACAGAACAGCCCAAAGGCATCATGTGATCCGCTTTGGAAATGCCTACACCTCTGGCCAGGATGGTCACTGTCCCCCTCACAGCAGCCAGTGGGACAGCCAGTGAATGATCAACCCTAGTGGGACCATTTCAGAACAGTATCTTGTGGCAAAGCTTGCAGCAAGATCAGGGCCATTCTATTGATCTGCTGTAGTGTCTGTATTAACCTGAAATGTGTATTATTAAAAGAAACAGGTACAGGTCAGGGGCAACTCTAAGAAAACTCATGTCTCAAATGTAAAGCAGCATCTCAACCATGAAATCATAAAGCAAAATCAACAGCTGCCACAAAAGACTTTCTATTGAATGAGGGTGTTCCATGGGAAAGCCACTCACAATCTACACACTAACATGTTCAAAACATGTTCAATGTACTCATGTCTTTGTTGAAATGTTTTTGTAGAAATCACAAGTTTTGAAGTAACAAAATTTTTTCTGTAGCAGTAATTACTCATACAATAATTTTGCAAGGGGTAAGATTGCTATTTGCATCTGTGTTTCCTGACCTACTGAGTTAGGGGCTGAAGTCAAAAGAAGGTAAGAAAGGGCCAAGAGGTGCAGTCCAGCTGATGAGAGTGCTTGCCAGTGGCACAAAGCCCTGGGTTCCACCCCCAAGACATCATAAAACCAGGCACAGTGGTATATGCCTGTCATCACAGCTCATGGAGGTGGAGGCAAAAGGTTCATTAGCTCAGGGTCATCCTCTGCTATACAAAGTTTGGAGCCAGCCTGGGCTACATAGACCCTGTCACAAAAACAAAGCCAAACAACAACAACAACAACAACAAAAACACTGACAGCTCATGTTCTGAAATCTTGGAAATAGAAACCTGTAAACACAAATTGTCAGCAGGCCAAGGCTTCCTCCACTTAGGGGATCTACCGAGTATAGAACTCAGATCCCATCCCAGCCACAAGCTGCCAAGTCATTTAGCTTGGTGTGATAGGGTCTCTCTATATAGCTCCAGCTGTCCCGAACTCACTCTGTAGACCAGGTTTGTCTCAGACTCACAGAGATCTGCCTGCCACTGCCTCCCGAGTGCTGGGACTAAAGGCGTGCGCCACCACACCCAGCTTATTTCTTTTTGCCTGTTATAAACAAATTTCTGGAGTGGGAGTGGGCCTGGGTTGCCTTGTAGGCAGCCCCGGGAAGTAAAGCAGACATTGCCTGAAGAAACAGGGATGCCTCCTTGAAAAAGCACAAAGCAAACAGTGCCTTCTTCCTGACACCCTAAAGACCGATACCAAGGTTTCCTCAAACAGCTGCACTCCACTTCCAGTTGCTATGTGTCACTGTTATACGAGGACAGGCATGTTCCCAGAAAAATTGAAGATAGCCTCAGGAGCCCATTCTGGGTGCTGCTCTGTCACTTTGAGACAGGGTCTTGCTATGTAGCCTAGGCTGGCCAGGAACTCTGTCCTGCCTCAGCCTCAGTACTGAAATTGCAGACATGTGCCACCATGCCTGGCCCTCCGATGTCAGCTATTTGAAAAAGTAAACATCAGAATTCTATCCTAGTTCTCAAGAGCTTCTGAACATATCTGAACTCAAAAGTGCCCTTTGGAAAAAGCAGGTTCAATGTCTGGCTCTACTCCGGGACAGCGTGTGGTTAACCATAGACTGGGGCTCAGAACAAGCTTGCCTCCTTCCGGTGTTCCTCTTGGTTCATGTCTGAGTTCACTCAGCCTCTCTGGGGTGCTCTCCTTCTCTACAAAGGGGATGATGGTACCTAAGCATTAGAAATGGACCTGCGCATATCAGTTATTTCCATGTGCCATATAGAGTCAAGTTGCATGACATAAACTCTGTACCTTCTACAGCCTAGGAAACACTTGTATCTGGTTACCCCAGCCTAAAAGAGCCAGCCTTGCCCAGGAGAGCACGGCTGAACTCTGGGGGACGGAACCCCCAGAAAAGAGAAGCCATGGAATTGCTATGGGTCTAGGACTGCCTCAGTTCTGCGGGAAGCTGCCTGTATTCCCCTCAAGATACCAAGTCCAGAATGTTCAGAACCCAGAATGGCTAGGGTCCTGAAGTGGCAGGATGCTGTGACCTCCCTAGAAACAAACATGGGTGCAGCATTCACACCCCTGCAGGAGGAATGGCCATCCTGGACTGCAGGGCCATACCATAGGCCTGAGGTACTCTGGCATTCTAGGGCAGGATGTGAGTCTGCTTCAATGGTTAGATTAGAACATAGACCCAGGCTCCAGCAGAACTTCAGTGTCTAAACTGACTCACTGTTTGTCCCTTTGAAAGGAGTTATTTCAGAGCAGGCAGGAGAGGTGAGTTTCCTGGCCGCCCAACACCCACTCCTAAGACCCAACCTGAGCTATGCAGAATGACAGGTGGTCAAGCCCTGACCCAGCCATGCATGTTAACCCTGGAGACTTCAGTGAGGTAGGTGGTATCAGCCCCATTTTACAGGTGGGCAAACTGAGGCAGAATGAAATGCAATAGCTCGCTTTTAATAACAACATACAAAATCTAGAGAAAGCCCCAAAGTAGTCCACACTCCCAGAGACCAAGGAATGGGGAGCCATGCTCCTGTGCCTGCTCTACAGTCCAGAGGAGTCAAGCTCTGCACACACAGAATCTGGGACACTAAACCCAGCAGCAACAGGAGGCCCAGCTTCCAGTTTGTTCCAGTTAGGTAGAGGCTGCCTCAGCTAGAGCACACTGCCCTCCAGGGTGAGTCTTGGGCTGGTGGCCCATGCTCACTTGCACTCACCAAGGACAATGTGGGCTCACGAGCAGCCCAGTCTGCTCTCTTCCTAGGAAGCCAGGCTGAGGACAAGGCCAGCATGCTGACCAAAGCATCGGGGCAGTGGGGACAGCACCAGCCTCACTCTAAGCTCTGGCCTCAGGGTGGTTCTGCCCAAAACCTTCCTGGGATTTCAACCCTGGCCCCCATCAGACATCCCTCAACAAAAGCTCCCTCCCAGTTCCTTCAGAACTGAATTCTTCGTCCCTCCAGCCGAGACCGACACAGGACGTCTCGGGTCGGAGATGTGTGTGTTGGCGGTGTTCTTTGGATGGAAGCAAAGGTCATCCTGGGGGATCGGGGCCTGTCTGCCCAGCCGGAGGTTGACACCCATTCTGAGCTGGGCATGGGGTGAGGTATTCCCAGCCGACAAACAGCTCATGTCCCTGACTCCCAGCTGGAACTCACTGCGACACGTAATAACCATGGGAGAACATGGGGCTGACTCGAGAGCTGAACTTCATCAGTACTGCATTACAAAATCTTCCACTGACTTTGTGTGGGATGTGTGGACAGTAGCCTGCACAGAGCCCCAGCAGGGGGACAGAGTGGAGGTCGGGAGGTCTAAGAACATTCTGGAAGCTGGCAGCCCCTCACACTCTCTACGGCCTCTTGGTGTCTCTGGCCCTCTTTGGGAGCAGAAGGCTCTCCAGAGATGGGCTGAGGGGGCCGAGTGCGGGACAGGGTGGGAGCAGAGCCAGCGAGGGAAGAGGACGAGGCACTTCAGTTTGGGCTGGTGTTCATGGAGTCGGCCCTGGCCCCAGGAGTCGAGTGGCCCTGCCTGGCTGTAGCTCCGGCGCTGGCTTGTCACAGAAGACCCCCGTGGCGGTGACAGGTAGGCACTTGGCAGCATTCCAGGGCCAGGCAGGGCCGGGGCTCCGTGCAGGCTCCACACACATACTAGGTCATCAAGATGGGTTTCTGTCGTACTTCCAGGATGTCTAGGGTGAAGGAGGGAGCAGGAGGGGTAAGGACACTCTGGGGAGGGAGCCACAGCTGCCATGCACACCCACCACTTCTGATCAGGCCTCACAGGCTACAGACACCAGGATCACTCTGCCCTCCCATGCCCGCAATGGATAAGTGTAGATGCAGAGGCCAAGAGGAGTAAGCCTCCCACAGACACCTCCGAGGCAACACCCACCTGCAACCACTCAAAGAGGGGCCGGTGAGGACATCAGGGACATATGTGTTGGGAAGCCGCTGGCTTATGTAAACTACAGCCCACTGAAGCCTTCACAGAGAGGCCCTGAAGGGCTCCGCCTTCGTGTACCTGTTAAGATCCGATGCAGCGGCAAGGTGACGTAGGTCAAGTGTGCATAGAGAAGGAAGTTTCCATCAGCTCTGTTCAGCTTCAGCCAGGACCCAACCAGGGACCGTCCCGTGCCGGACAGGGAGCGAGACCGCAGGTTGGTGGCATTGTGCAGGTCGGCTGCAGAGAAGGGCAGGTCAGCATCCCAGTGTGGGCCAGGGAGTTGGGGGGGCAACAAGGCATCTGCCCCTCTAGATGGATGCCACACTCACCAATGCTCCCCACCAAGTCCACACCCCATAGCCCTGCTTCCAGGCCCTACTGCCCTGTCTGCCAGCGTCCATTTCCCCTGGGCCTGGCCTTGAAAGCACGCAGGGTTCAACACAGTAAAGCCTGCCTTCTTGCAGCCACCTGATATATCATGGAACTGGGAGGGTACCAGCTTGTGAGAGATGCTGAGTTATGTTGGACGTTCCCTCAGAAACTCCCAACCAGGTCTGAGGGTCACTCCTGTTCCCTGAATCCCACTTTCCGCAGGACTGACTGATGGAGCACTGTTAACCCACCAAGCCCCAGGGTTCCTGATCCAAGACTGAGGAGTCCTGTTCCACGGCTGCACAATTCCCTGGCAGTGACTGACCACTGGGGAGAGGGTCATGTACACAGAGCAGATGAGTGGGTGGGACCACGGGTTCTGGGGACCTCTGGGCAGACACCAGAAGGTCACTGCTAGGGCCACAGGAAAGGATCTATGAGTCAAGGTGACTCACAGGAGATCAGGGGACAGAGGTAACAGAGAAACCCTGCGGTTCACCCAGGACAGAAGGTTCTAGAATGAGGAAAGCTGGCCTAGGAGTCAGAAGAGGAAGAGAGCCCTTGAGAAGTACCCAGGTCAGCAGAAAGCTCCGGAGTCTCTGAATGGGTGGGTGGATACTGAAATCAGGGCTCATGGAGGCAGACACCGCCCCCATCTACACACAAGCTCACCCCAGCCCGGGGTCACCCCACCTGACAGCTCTCTAAGTGACACTGTGAGGGAGTGACAGCATGCATGACTGCAGAGACGGGCGAGTGACCACATGGGGAAATGGCCGCAAAGGGGCGAATGCAAGCCAGAGCAGGGCCACTGGTCTCTAGGACGAAGGGCGAGGCTGTCACCTGCACTGTCGTCCTCTCGGAAGAACTCCTCACTGTCGTTGGCCGAGTGTGACTTCTTCATCTCTGCAATGCGGTTCCGAGGCACCTTCCTCTTGAGGGATGGGGAAAAGAAGGCAGGCCGGTTGTTTCGCTCTGGGGTGGGCGGGGTGCTGAAGGAGGTCACCTGGGAACAAGGAGTCCAAGTCACAAGTGTAGCAGGAGCAGACCCTGCTAAGAGGCCCCAAAACCACTCAGAGCAAAGCCAGCCCCAGCAGGGGCTGTAGCTATAGCTGCTGACCCGACCCTGGCCCGAGGGCCATCCATCCTAGATGAGGGGACACTGGGCACTGGGAGATTGCCACACACAGCAGCAGCAAGTCCTGCCTAAGGAGGGAGCGGGCTGCCACCAAAACTGCCAGAGGGACTTCTCTTCCACATGTCAACACAAAGGAGGGGCCGTCCAGACGCCAGGTGACGGCTGCTGGACGTGGTTTAAGCACTGCCGTGTCATAGCAACCACGTCCCAACACAGCAGCTCATGATGCCCTTTTCATATAAGAGCAGATACGGCCCACAAATGGCCACTGTGACCTGCCTAACGCCACTAGGACTGTACCCCAGGTCACCCCTGGGGCCCTTCCCGCTTGCATCCAGCCCCTTTCACGAGAACTCGGGCTGAGCAGCTCTGTGCCTGAAGCCTCCTCTCCTCCCTTCCAAGCACATTCAGCCCCAGCCACCAACATTCTCCACACTCACTTGGGGGTGAGGTTGGCACGCACAGGCATAAGACATAGGTCCCCTGCCCTCAAGGAGCTCACAGTCTGCTGGGGGCGACAGACTCAAGTGACAACCACAGACCGCATGCTGGTTGCTGAGACAGAGAAAGGGAAGCACGGGACACGGAAGGGACAGTGGAAGAAGGGATAGACAGCCTGTGAAATCAGAGTAGGCTTCCTGGAGGAGGTGCCGCGTGAGCTGGGTCTTGAAGGACGAGTAGGAGTTCGCCAGGTGAAGAAGGGGGGGAAGGGCGTTCCAGGCACAGGGAACTTGGCCCATCCCCTCCCTCCTCCCCATGCAAACAAGAATCGGAGCAGCAAGATGAGCTGGGACCGAGACTTCGGGGCCCCATCGGCCTCCTGGTCACAGCTCCGACATCCACCAAAGTCCCGGCGGCTGCTGGGCTCCAGACGATCCTCCCTCAAGTCAGGGAAGGTTTTAAAAGATAAAAAACAAATACCAGAAACCACAATACACACAGTCTGCATTTCTTGTACACTGGTTACAAGTGACCCCTCAGGACAAGAAGACAAGCAACAGTGTGTACATGGGCAGTGGCACTGAACCCTATGTGACCTCTTGACTCCTCCCCAGGGCTCCATACCTCCCTGCCATGAAGAGCATGGCTGAAGGCCATCTCATCCCTCATGGGCACGCCCGTTTGGTGGGTGGGACAACCGAGGCTTGGGTGGTTCTACGGACTGTCTGTGGGCACTCAGCCAACAGCACCCAGTGTTACTCAGCTAGGGACCACATCTGCACACCTACACGTGTGTACCCCTTTCAGCGTCCAAGTGCAACACAGAACTGGGCAGAACCAGCCTGTCGCCTGGGAGCTCAGAATCCAAGCCATCTCCATTCAAAAACTGAGAGGGCCCAAGCCTGAGGTGCTCAGCACTTTACAGAATCCCAGCATCTCTTGGTTTTGTTTGGTTTACAAAAACATACCAATTATAGGAGATTACAAAAGAAAGAAAGAGAGGCTCCCAGGAACTAATACGAGCAGCAGCCAGTCAGGCGCTGCCCATTCTTGAGAGTCACCTCTCTCGTCAGCTGCAGACAATGATCACTGTGGCTGCCACTTGGGACACTTCCCAGGGCCAAGCCCCATGCAAGCCGTGAGCCGTGAACCAAGCACTTGGGGAAGCAGGCTCGCACCTCACTTCTCCGAGAGAAACAGCTTAGGGAAGGAAGGGACTCTTCCAAGGTCGCATGAGCTGTGGAGCCCAGAGTGCAGCCCGAGGTGCTCTTGACATGGAAACACTGACTCCACAGGCAGAGCTTTCTGGAACCTGAGCCGGGGGTCTAGTCTCTACACGGCCACTGACATCAGATCCTCACTAAGGGCTGAGAGCTCAAAGGAAGCCAGGCTTGAGGCCCCGTGCTGAGTCCTCAGAGCTGTGGCAGGGGCAGCAGCCCACAAAATACTCCCCCCTGCCCAGGGATACTGCTAATAGACAGAATCAACAAATGACCAGGCTCAGAGGAGCCTTGTGCTCGCTGGCTGTCCTTGTGAGACAACCCAGGACTCAGCTCTTCCTCATCCCTATTGGTTCATTGCAGAAGGCTGATGTGGTCACAGCTGCTGAGCACGTCCAGGCGGCAGGCACCAGGCCCAGCTCCTAGTCCATTTCTTCTGTTCCGGGTCCCAGGGACTCAGCCTTGGGGCAGAGCAGCTCAGGGAATCAGAGTTAGCCTGGGAGTGAGCCCGCTGGGTGACCTCAAGCAAGGAACCTTGCCTCTCAGAGCCTCAGCTTCCTCATCAGCCACGGAGGTCAGCTGGTGACAGCTGGGGGCTGTGGGGGCCAGAAATGAACACAAGGGACAACAGGAAGTCCCTCCCCCAGCCATGCAGCCCTTACCCGCTCATGCATGGGCGAAGCTGGGCTGGAGTCTTCTTCCGTCCCATAGGGGGACGTGTCACCAGTAGACACACGGCTGACCGCCATCTCAGCATGGCCCTTGCCTTGAGGCCCCTTCATGCGCACAAACTCCATGTTGTTGTACTTGTAGAAGCCAAACGACATCTTCTGGGCCATTCGAGCTGCCACACTCACCTGTGGTAGGTGGGACATGTCTCTGTCAGCAGCCTGGGACCGGCTTTATGGCCCCCCTCCTCCTAACACAGCAGCCAGCATTACCATCTCTAAGGCCATCTTGAGGGCATCTGAGCCACAAGGAAGCCAGTCTAGTACGGTGTGTGTTCCAGACCCCTGGCCAAGGCTGTTCTCACTGCCCTGAACAGCCATAATACTGGCCAGGGTCTTAACCCCAGGTTTAATTCTACCTCAGGCCAGACAGCACCAGCTGCAGGAAACTGGCCTGCTCATCTGAACTCTCCCTGCTGTATCAGTCAGGGAGTGTCCCCAGTACTAGGGATGTAAGGGAGACTGTGGGGCCCCAGGAGTGGCTGCAAGAGCAGCAGATGCCCTGATGTGCCCGAGAGGCTGGGGGGAGGGGACGACAAAGGGCCAGGATGCACTCACTCGGTTGTCATACACCTTCTTGAGAGCCTCGTAGCGGATGGAGCCCTGGAAGATGACACCCTGGAACGTGTTGGTTTTGTCACTGGCCACCAGCTCAACACAGACCATCTCTCCTTCTCCTACAGTCATGTCACTGAACACCTAAGGGTGGGGAGGAAGAGATGGAGATGTCAAATCTCGGTGCCACCACCACACCATACCCTGACCTGGCTACCGGGAGGGCTGCCGAAATCACCGAGTACGGGGCAACCTGTAATCCCAGAACTAGTGAGGCTGAGGCAGGAGGATCAAGATTTTAAACTCAGCCTGGAGTAGACAGGAGCAATGTGTCTCAAGACAGAGAAATGGGGGGAAGAAAAGAGGAGGGAGGGTGTTGGGGAGGAGGAAAGAAGGAAGGGAAAGGACAGACAGAAAGGAAATCCCATTTTATAGATGAGGATGTCGAGGCCAAACTACTTGTCCTCAGCCACCTACTGTCCACCACACCACCTCTAACCCTTGCCACAGTAGGAACTCACCTCATCCCAAGCTGAGCCACTAGCAAGACCCTCATCCTACTTTTTTTTTTTTTTTTTTTTGGTTTCTCTGTATTGTTTTGGAGGCTGTCCTGGAACTCACTCTGTAGACCAGGCTGGCCTCGAACTCACAGAGATCCGCCTGCCTCTGCCTCCCGAGTGCTGGGACTAAAGGCGTGCGCCAACAACGCCCAGCCTCATCCTAGTTTCTAATGCTGAGTTACAATGACAAGAACTACAGGGACACTTGGGGACCTCCTTCATCACAGCCCGGTCCAGTCCACTGTACCCTGAGCTTGGCTGTCTGAGCTAGTGTGACTAATTGTGACTGCCTTCCGGGGATAACACCACCTGGACATGGGCAGTGTGATCACACCCGGCCACATTTCCAAGCTGCTGTTCCTAATATCTGACATCCAGATGTGAGCTTTCCAGGAGAGACTCAGGGCAAACACATGTGCAGTGTGAGCCCAGGGAGGCCACATCACCTTCTTGAGGCTCAGATATTTCGGATACCATCAGAGCCCACAGGGCCTGAAAGCCATGCCAACTTCATGGGACTTCAAGAACCATGGCTGTCTCTGGGCAAGGACAAGCACATACACACACATGCACAGACGTGTGTACTCTCCTCTCTCTCTCTCCTCTCCCCCCCCCCTCTCTCCAACAGCAGCCTTGGCAGACGAGCAGAACAGGAAGAGGAATGGCAGCCTCCCTCTTCTACCCCTCCTGGTATTGGTGAGTTAACGTATCTGGAGCACATTTTGTCAATCTTGAAACAAGGGCTTGGCCACAGCACCCTGGGCAGAGTGGAGGCAACCATTCACAGAGCAGCAAATGATGACTACTCTGGTCAGGCAGCACTTACTCTAAGCATCTATGATGCACACTCCCACTCAGAAGTCCTCTGGTCCTCAACCCTGACACTTTAGTGGGTCACAAGGTCATGACACTTACTTTATAGATGAACGAGCCAAGGCCTAGAGCAGGGAGTACACACTTGTCTGGTCAATCACTGTCAAGAGGGGAGCCCCACTGGCTGTCATCAGGACCCTTCCCTGCTCCTGCTGCCCATGTCTCCTGGGAGGCTTTGCAGGTCCTCAGCCTGACATGACACTCCCCAGCTCACCAAGAGGAAAGGAAGGGGACTGTGGCCAGCAGTGAGCACTCACCTCCTCGAAGCTGTCAATCATGAAGAAGATGTTGGGGTAGCTCATCTTGGACTCTTCTCCTTTGCTGTCCATGGGGTGTTTGCTGGGGGATGCAAACACTTGCTAAAAGGGAAACATAAGGGCTGAGACACTGGCCTGGACGGGAAAGAGACCTCAATAACGGCCAAGGGCCCACGCTGCTCAGAGCCAGGGATGTTCTCTTCAGGAGCCATGGGTCAACCCCTCACCTTGGGGGAAGGAAAGTGGGGGGGTGTCTCTCTAGAACAGGCAGCAGGTAGCTAGAAGGCCTGGACAGCTAGTGGGAGGTAGGGGCTCACCTGGGATTTCTTCCTATGAATGTGAATGTCGCCTCCATCGGCACGTGTGCACACGGCACAGGTCACCATATAGTCCAGCTAGGAGAGAATGCAGTGTGCATGTGGTGGGGGTCACCGTCCCCCAGACCCACAAGCAGCCATCACCACCCACCCCATACCTTCTGTAGGATGAGGTTCAGGCAGACACTCTCTTCCCAGTCAATGTCAGGGTCTCCCAGGCCTGGAAGCTTCTTGGAGTCCCTCCGGTACACTTCCACCTCCACTTCAGGCTCCGCCTCAGCCTGCGGCACAGGTCAGAGTGAGACTCCGCTGCCTGACCGCTGTACCAGGCAGGCGGTAACACACAAAAACCCCACCCCTAGTGCAGCCCCAGTTTTCTGATCTGTATAACAGGAAAAGCATCTCCCTCTCCAAGTTGTGATAATTAAGACATCATATTTCCCAGGTTCCCAATGACAGCAACATCTACTGGACACGCAGTGGGTAGCAGAGGCTAGTCTCCATGTTTTACATATTATTACCCTTTTATCTGCAAGAAAGGAACCATTAATCCCACTGTAGCTAATGAGGATCAAACAGGCTACAGATCACACACCACACACTCATCAAAGAGAGAACAGAGCCCCATCTACCCCTAGTCCAGGCAGGAGAGGCATAAGAAATCAAAAGCAGATTTGAAAGCAACCTGTCCTTGAAGGGGTCCTGAGCCCAGGGTCCTAACTAGGCCCAGGAGGGCTTCTCCATGGTCAACTCAAGAAAGCAATAGTCACCTTCTGCTGGACAGCTCTGGGGCCACCCACCCTGGGGCAGATCTGGGATCCACACAGAGGTGCCTCAATGCAGTAGGATATGCCACAGGGGTAGGATTACTACCTCCCATGGTCTGTGTGGCTGTGAGGTCCCCCAGACTCTGAGCTGGGAGTCACACACCGCCTGCCTTGGTCTCGCTCCATTGAATGCTTAGCGTTCATCGTGTCTACTCTCCTGCAGGTGAACCCACAGGGCAGGTGCTCAGCTGCTGTTGGCTCAACAGAGGCTGGGGAACCAGTGTAGGGAACACCTATAGCACCACAGCACTCCTGCGGCGGTCAGCAGGCTAGTGGGACGGGTAGCGCCGTGTGTCACTAAAACGCACAGGGAACAGCTCAGACATCCACCCACAGAAGGGCAGGTGGGTGGCAGGGACACCCAGCAACCAGACGGACAAATCACAGCTACCTGTGTCAACAGTCATGCTCCCAAGTAAATGACCGAGAGGCAGCCAGAGGACACACTGCAGCGCCACATGTTAACTCGGGGTGGGGATGGGCCACCTAAGTGGCAGAAGTACAGCTGAGCCAGGACGGGAGGGAGCTGCTGGTGGCCAAGGCCCCTTGCACTTACTAGTCATGCTGGGTCTCTGGATCTTGAAGGCGGGTGACCCCAGTACACACACACACACACACACACACACACACACACACACACACACACACACACACAAGACCATCAACCTTGCATGTACATTACAATCAAGAAAAACTACCATCTGGATGTGGTGGCACCGGCACCCGCCTTTAATCCTAGGACTCAGGAGGCAGGCAAACTCTGTGAGTTTGAGAGCTGCCTTGTCCACATAGAGTTTCAGGCCAGACAAAGCTAATAGTGAGATTCTCTCTCTCTCTCTCTCTCTCTCTCTCTCTCTCTCTCTCTCTCTCTCTCTCTCTCTCTCTCTCTCTCTCTCTCTCTCTCTCTCTCTCTCTCTCTCTCACACACACACACACACACACACACACACACACACACACACACACACACGAAAAGCTACCAAAAGAAAAAATTGTAAGATCAGATGCTGTGGGACCCTCGATGCTCCTGAGCTGCGGTTCTCAAGGAGGTCTGGGGTAATCTCTACCCCAGGACTGCCGAGGGTGTCAACAGGAAGCCACTGGCATAGACGAGGACACAAACAGATGCCAGTGCTCATCAGTGCCAAAGACAAAATGGGCTGCTGAGAACCGGGAGTGTCTTGTTCAGGGGTGGCATAGCAAGACTGTGCACACCATCTAGGACACACTGGGGATACCAGGCTCTGGTCCCCAAGGCGATCCTGCAGCAAGGTGTGAGAACTCCAGCACCCACCCACACTGCAGCTCTGGCTCTGCCCACCCACCCTCCTCAGTTAGGCAGAGAGCCTAGCTGGTTGCCATGACAACCAGTACTAGCAGGATGGGAAAGGGTGGGAGGGTGTTGCAGTGCTTGCTGCAGAACACTCCTAGTGCGCATGCACTGGAGTCCACATGTCCGCAGCCCTGGCTTCTGTTTCTTGGTAGGCTGGGATCCCCAGTGCACCCACACCCTGCCCCTTACAGGGCATACTGCAGACTGTCAGGCTGGAAAAGACGTCTAATCTGGGTGAACTTGAGCCTTGCCTGACCCTAACCTGGTCCTCCAAACCCCGTAGCAGACACCACCAGTCAGCCCTCTGCGGTTCCGCCATGCAGAGGTGCAGGAGGCCAACCTTGCACAAAGAGAATGTATGGGGGGGCTACTTCCCAACGCCCATCTGAGCAGCAAGACTACAGTTTCTCTTGGTCTCACTCCACCGACATGTGGTGACTTTCCTTTCTCCCTGCACATATCACTCTGAGGGCAGGGTGTTCTGCTGGCACTCCGTCACGCTCTGTCGCACACTGAGTGATACCGCACCCCGGTCAACTGTGCTCGGCACCCCTCGCCTACCATGAAGGTACTATACCCGCCCTAAGATGTGTCCTCAGCCAGCAGCTTCCCTGCAAGCCTGCACACAGATGTCAGCTCTTTCTTGGCTCCCACTACACGATGCCGTGTGTCTGCCCACCAAGGACTTCCCAAAGAGTGGCAGCCTGAGCCGTTTCTGTGTTATCTGGGCCGTTTCCGTGGGGCTCACTCCTGTTAAGAGTCAGGCTACCTCCACTGACCTCGATACTTTTAAGTCTTCACGAGTGTCTCAACACAACCTAGGGACCCTCCTGCTGTAGACTTCTCGATCTTTGGCCCAGGGCTGCTTCTCCCAAGAACTCTTGCCTTGGCCCTCCTCCACCCGAATGCCATCACTAGCCATCCCACTTTCCGCTCAATCTGGCCCTCAACGGAGCACACTGTTGAGTGCACTGGCCCCGCATGCCATGACCTTTCCAAGAGCCACCAGGTAGGATGCCCCCGGAAGACAGTGCCACACATGTGCCTGTCCTCAGAGAGAACAGGCTGGAGTGGCGGGAGCCAGAGGTGAGGTCCACAGTCCTGCTGCTCCAAGGGCCTTCATCCCAAGGTAACCCTTGGGTGAAAGCAGTGCCTACACCCAGGCTGCGCTGATGCTGGGTAACCAGCAACAGGGGCTCTCTTGCACCTGTCCCTTCCTGCCAAGGGCATTTATGTGGCCATGCCAACCTCAAGCATCCCAGCCTCACAGTGTCCAATGGGAGGCTCAGCCCTTACTAATTATCTGTTCCCAGCCCCAGAGATGTCTGGGTCCGGGCCACGGCTGTAACCCTGATCAAGGGGAGAAGCTGGAACTCCAATGGCAGTATCGGGCAGGACTAAGGAGCCCAAGGCTGCCCCCTACTGAGAAAGTTCCTGCCTCACTGGCACCACCACGATGCCAGATGGACCCACAAAGTGGATCTCAGCTTTAACTCTTCCACAGAGCATCCCCTGCTCCACCTACCTGTCGCTCCTGGGTCCTAGCCCTGTCTGCAGCATCACCATGTCTCCAGACTCTACACTTCCCTGGCTTGTCTAACTCTTTGGCCAGTGGTTCACCGGCTTCTGCAGGCCCCTCCCACACCACTGGCAAGCAAGCCACCAAGGGACTCCTTTGCAGCAAGCTCCCAGGGGTGTCCACTAGCAGCAAACGCATCCTGTAGATGTGCAGGCATGTGACAGGTAAGAGCTCCCCACACTCAAGTGTGTGAGCTGTAACTAAGAAACCACAGGGAGCATGGAAGCAGACAGGCTGTTAGTCCCAGACCAGGGTCAAAGCCTGACCACTATCGATCCTTAAAGGCAAACAGATCATTCCCATGCCTAACATGTGGGCGGCTTAAACATTCTATAAACCACTTAGAATTCTGAAAAGAGAAGGAAGCATGCAAAATGTGTCTCAAGAACTCCTGCACACTGCCACACTTAGAAGATGAAATGCCCTGGGTGAGTCACTTCTCTCTAAGCTGTTTCCTCATCTATTTGCCCAGTTGCTGGGAGATCTGGAGACCTAGGAAAGCCCTGAGTGATCCCCCTAGTTTACAGCAAGGGCCGAATCAGAGAAGGATGACATCATCACTATCACTACCATCCAGCTACTGCCCTACCCACTCTGGGAAGTGCCCCAGACTTGAGGCTCAAAACTCTGTACCTCCATCCACTCACTCACTGTAAGAGGCTGGCCAGCTGGACCCTGAGCCTCAGTTTCCTCAAGGATAAAATTACTGCCTTTTGGAGTTATGGCAAAAACAATTCAACAAACCCATAAGTTAGCCACTAGTAAGCATCTCCCGGGTCCATCAAACGTGTTGGGTACTCAGTATGGTTTTCCCTTCCGCTGCACATGAATGCTCGGGAAGAGGAGACCCTACAGGACGCTCAGGTCACAGTCGGGGGTGGGCTTGGGGGTCACCCACCTTCCTCCTGTCTACACTGCTGCACAGTCGGGGGTGGGGCTTGGGGGTCACCCACCTTCCTCCTGTCTACACTGCTGCACAGTCGGGGTGGGGCTTGGGGGTCACCCACCTTCCTCCTGTCTACACTGCTGCACAGTCGGGGGTGGGGCTTGGGGGTCACCCACCTTCCTCCTGTCTACACTGCTGCACAGTCGGGGGTGGGGCTTGGGGGTCACCCACCTTCCTCCTGTCTACACTGCTGCACAGTCGGGGGTGGGGCTTGGGGGGGAGTCACCCACCTTCCTCCCGTCGACACTGCTGTCACTGCCCGGGTAGGCTCGCTTCCTGCGCACGTAGAAAAGCATGTCATCCTGCCTGGGGGCCAGTTTCTCCATGAAGTAGGTAGAAAACATCCAGGTCCAGAAGACAATCCGGTCATCCTTGAAGCATCCTACAGGAGGAGGCCAGAGGAGTGAGAAGGGGCCCTCCTGGCCCTGGCTCTGACCATGGCCAAGCCTGGTCTTCCCCACCTGCATTTCTGGTCAGAGATCTAACAAGGCTGGGATGCTCTGCCCCTTCTCCCTTGGTGCCCCCCCACCCCCACCCACGGGTGTCAGAGAGGCTGGGGTTGCCCCCCAGTAGGTCTAGGACTCCACCCAGCGGCAGCCTGACAGCCTGGGCTGCCAGGGCCCCACTGCCGAGCTGAGCTGACTCCAGCCTGTAAATGAATCAGCGGCTTTGAGAAAAGGAAAATCTAGAAGCTGTGAGGACGTCACTGGCAGGCTGGCTAGGCTGCAAGGAGAAAGGCTTTGCTGGGGAAATCTTCAGACATCCTTAGCCCTCCCCCGCAGGCTGTGGCAGTCCCAAGGAGAACCCGACTTAAAGGGACAGCCAGTGCATCTCAGCTGCAGGCAGGAAGGCCCTGACAGTCCCATTGGATTCCTTCAGATTTTTTTTGCATAATAAATGTGTTTCTGCATGATAAATGAAACGTGAAATCATTTCCTGAATGATAGAAGCTTTGCCATTTGATTATGTGACAGAGGACAGGTGTTAAGCTGCGGAGCCACAGGCTCCTTTCGACTACATGAGGATGGACAGCTCCTGGCTGGAACGGCCAGTGCCTGGCACAGAGCAGGTAAGTAAATGTGGGCTTCCTCTCTCTATTGGATCAACAAATTGTCACCCAGCGCTACTCAACCCGTTAAACTCCTGCATTTCTTTCTTTCCCCATTCTCCTGAACTGTGAAGACGTAGCCCTAGTGCCTGGCTTCTGGGAAGGACTACATGGTACAACACCCTCCACCATCCTCAGAGGCAATCACTGGCCAGACCAAGGACGGACAGCAAGTAGAAGATGCTAGCCACATCACAGAACCAGTCTTTACCCCCCTCCCTCCGACAGCAGTGTGTGCCCAACACTGGGGAGTGGGAGGGGTCAGAGGCAGCACATCTCACCAGCCTCAGTGAAGCAGGGACAGGCTCACAGGCACGGGGTGGGACATCCACCAGCACTGGAAATTCCTGCCTCCCTTTTGCACTGGGCAATGTCCAACTATGCGCACACCATGAGATGAGGCAGAGGCGTCTCTGGCCTGACAAGCAGGGGCCTGTGACTCAATCCAATTGATGTCACACTCAGGCAGCTCACAAGTGTCAGCCACAGAGGAAAGTACTGCCCTTCCTTGAAAGGGCTCCTTTACTCTTTCATACAGTCAGCTGTGAGGCCAGGGTGCAGCTCTATGCCTAAGCTCATCAAGTCAAGGGTTCCATACCCAGGACCACAAAGGTTTATCTGGTAGTGGCTTCTAGGGCATCTAGGCAATTAACAATATTTACAAAACAATGATAATGACCTTAGCTACACATTAGTTAGGCAAAAAGCTCTGTGGACTGTTAACAGTAAACCTTCACTGTCACTCAGATTGTCCCCAACTCCTTTCACAGAAGAAGCTAAAGGATGTGCCCGAGGTCCCAGAGCTGGAGACTGATCTGCCTGATGGCCACACGCAGGCCTTGAAAAAACCTGTGCTCAACGATTTCCTGCAAAGGAGCCAATCACAGGTGCTGGCAGTTCTGTGGCACAAGGAGCAGAAGGTAGGAAAGCCCAATTCAGGGAGAGCCAGGCAGGGGCCCGGGGGTCCACACAGTCCACATACTCCAACACTGGAGCTGGAGTGATGACTCTTTCAAAGGACAGGGGTTTGGTTCCCAGAACCCAGGAGTCAGCAAACAATCACCTGTAACTTCAACTCCAGGAGACACAATGCCCTCTTCTGGCCTCTGTGGGTACCTGCACTCAAGTGCACAAACACAAACACACAATTGAAAATAATAAAACAAATCTTTAAACCTAACCCTCACAATTCAGGGATCTCTGGGCCTCTTTTTCTGTTTCTCTTCCCAATGAGGTCACATTGAATAACTGTCCCTTTTCTACTTTTCATTATTACTCGTCTTTTTCTTAGCATTTATTTATTTGTGTCATGTATGTGGGCACATGTACAACATGCTGTGTTGTATGTGTGGAAATTGGAGGATAACTTGTGGAAGTCTGTTCTTTTCTCTCATCATGTGGGCTGTGGGGCAGGGGTGGGGTGGGGTCAAACCCAGGCCATCAGGCCTCCATAAGCCATCTCACCGCCCTGCTTGTCTGTTTAATCGGGAATCCTCCTATCTCAGCTTCTCGAGAGCTGGGATTAGACATGTCAGCCAGCATGCCCGGCCTAAGTGGCATTTTTATTTTATTCTATGTGTATGGACGTTTACCTGAATGTATGTCTGGGCACCACATGTGTGCCTAGTGTCTGTCTAGAGAAGCCAGAGAGAACATCAGACGCCCTGGGACTAGAGCTATGGGCAGCTGTGAGCCACCACGTTGGGTTCCGAGAGTCTGGGACTTCTGCAAGAGCAGTCAGTGCTCTCAACCACTGAACCCTCCCTCCAGTTCCCTGAGTGGTATTTTGAAAGGAACAAATCTGCCTTCTTAAAAACATCAGATTCTTATAAAGCTGCCATAACTCAGTCCTCCTACGTGCAACCAGAGAATGAGGCATGCATCCACAGAGAGGGCAGCACACACAATGTTCACAGGGTTTCCTGAGAGCCCCAGTGGAAACCAGGAAAGGAGACACAAGAAACACGGCTGGCCTGGCCAATGGCTTACAGCTCCCCATAGCACCACAGAGGAATCAGAGTTATCACATACACAAGTCAGGCTCATCAGACTGAATCCTGTGTGCTTACACTCATGTGGTGTTCCAGAAAAAAAAGAAAAAAATTAAAGGCCTAAAAAGCAGATGAAGCTGGCTGTGAGGGTGCACACCTGTAACACAGAACTGGAGTTCAAGGTCATCTGGCCTGTAAGAGACCTCACTCAAACACAAACAAACAAACAAACAGCAAAGGGGTGGTTGTCTTAAAATAACAATGAGAATGGAGACATGACTCAGCGGTTAAGAACACTGGCTGCTCTTTGCAGAGGACCTGGATTCAGTTCCCAGCACCCACACGGCAGCTAACAGCCACCTGTGTAACTCCGTTCTGGGGACCCAGCACCCTTTATGGGGATCTGGTCTCCATGGACACTACACACATATGAGCACACTTACATACTTGCAGGCAGAACACTCATGCATGTAAAATATAACAAAGCAAAACAAGAGAAACAAAAATAAACACTGTGTTACTAATAAGAGCAAACAATTTAACAACTTTCAGAAGGTGGGGAGGAGTCTGCAGTTATTAGCATCTGCCAATAATTAGGCAAATCACAGTATGTGTGTTCGGCTGGGACCTCCAGCTCACTCCTGTTTGATCCGGAAAGCCCCATTCCTCTCTCCAAACCCCACCCTCTCACTGAGTCTCCAACAACGAAAAGGCACCAAAAAGCCCAGTTCTGCATCCTCAGTGGCTATGGCAGCTCCTCCCCTGAAGTTGCCAGCAGCTCAAGACCCCGCCTAAAGCTGTCAGTTTTGACCACACCTGGCACAAACCCATCTTGTGGTGGACATGTCATCGTCCTCTTGCCTACAGGGTATATAAGCTCCCTACTTTAGTTTGGGCTTGTGACTTCTCCTGACTTGTGACACTCCTTGTGATCTTAGGGCTGGAGAACTCATCCATGAGTTGCTTTGCTCAAATAAACCTGTTCTTTTGCTGTTTCAATTCGGCTTAATCTGGCTTACTGCATCAGCAGAGAAACCTATTATCACGTTACAGAAGACCTATTAATGTTTACTAAACCAAATGTCTGTTGACTGATTAATTTACTTGAAGTTCTGGGAACCAAACCAAGGGCCTCCCTTGTGCTAAGCAAGTGTTCTATTCCTAAGCCACACCCTCAGACATGTGGCCTTGTAAAGTCTGCGAAGACCCCATACAGACACAGGGATAAGGGTCTTAAAGTCCTGGGTGAAAAGGCAAAACTTAGTTGTAGTCACACGGACTGTGCCACAAACCAAAGGAAAACAGGAGGAACAGAGACAGAACAGTGGGAGCAGCTGCCTTTCACAGGCAGCTGGCCAGTCTCCCCGTCTATCTTCCTTCTCCACAAACTACCTTTTGTCCTAAATCTACGGCTTGGTGTCACAGGCCTAAACTTCATGCAGGGGGAGGGAGAGAGCCCTCTTCACAGGAAAGGAAAGAGACTGAGATGTGTTCTGGGCAGACCTGGCATAGAATTTCTAACTCCTGGGGACCCAGAACAATCTAGGCTTTGAAATCCTACAGCATGGATCCTGGTCCCAATTGGTCCCCACCTGGACTGCTCTGGTAACCTCCCACCTTCCCAGAACAATGGTGAGGTCTGGGGAAGAGGAGCCATAGCAAAGTTCCCGATAGGCTGTGATAGTCCAAGTGAGGAACTTAGATGCAACTGCTCAGCGTGCCTCTTTGGCCAGCCAGGATGAAGCCAATGGATCACAGACTCCCAGCATCCTTTGGTCCTGTGGTACTGTGTGAGTGACCACACAAGAGGCAGATGTACTCTTGTTGGCCCGCTGTTTCTCCCATTGGTAAGACCTTCTTCCTTCTTTCCCTAGGCCTGCCCAGCAAGAAATCCCCTGGGTCATAAGCCTGTGAGCCACCAATATAGCACAGAGCTTTCTAGTCTCCCGAGCCCTATCTGCTCCTGTCCTCCATCCAGCCACTGGGCTGCCAAGGACTGCTCATTTACCACGTGTGAGTTCAGTGAGCCCAAGCCCTAGGCAGCAGACACAGCCTCACTCGGGCAGCACCACGGACAGCTCTCAGCTGCCAGGTTCCTCCCTCCCCTGCGGGAGCCTGAGGGGCAGCAACAGGGAGTCAGAGTCCTGAGGGGCAGCAACAGGGAGTCAGTTGTCCTTGTTGGGTGGAAATCAATGAAAACTGACTCACTGCTCCAGGGGAACTAGAGGGGGAGGATACGAGTGAGCAACTCTGGCTACACTGTCATCAAGCAATCGATTCACA